CTGCTATTGCTACTACTACTGCCACTAAACCACCTACTACTACTACCACTACTACTACTACTACTACTACTACTACTAAACTACTACTGCTACTACTACTACTACTACTACTACTACTAAACTACTACTACTAAACTACTAAACTACTACTACTACTACTACTACTACTACGACGACTACTACTACTACAACTACTACTACTAAACTACTAAACTACTACTACTACTACTACTACTACTACTACTACTATTACTACTACTACTACTACTACTACTACTACTACGACTACTACGACTACTACTTCTAGTACTCCTGCTACTACTGCTACTACTGCTGCTGCTGCTGCTACTACTACTACTACTACTACTACTACTACTACTTTCTCCTGCTACTACTGCTACTACTGCTGCTGCTGCTGCTACTACTACTACTACTACTACTTCTACTAAGCAAATCTCGCGTTCCAAATTTTCTCTGCCCCGAGCTGCAGAGCGCCCTCCGAGCGGCGGGGCGGCGGGTGAGAAGGCAACCAGAGGAAAGGACCTGACACGCTCATGGCCTTGACCAAGCGAGTCAAGCGCACCCAAGAATCTACAAGATCGAGCAGGAAACAGTGCTCGCTGTTCCAAAGTTTAAAATTGTGGCTTGACGCCTGAGCGAGGGGGGCCATGTCGCAGCAGCTGCCCAGGATGACATTTGACCTCAGGCACCCCTGGGCGAGCCAAGTTCCATCAACCACGCAGCTGGAGCCCGCACTTCAAAGCAGTAGACGATACGATACGTTGTGATCTGAAGTGCTGCGCTCCCGGACTTGTCACCAGATGACCCAGAAAAGCTACTCAATCATCGACATCTTCATGTTGCAGAAATCATGTCCTAATGACTGTAGCGGCACCCGCTTATTCGGTGTTCTTTTCCTCTTTCCTAGTTTTCGACGTTCTTCTGGCGTTCTCTTTGTGTTTTGCAGGGCAACAGCTAAGTTTTCTGTTGCAGAACTTAATCGATACTTGATTCTTTAGTTCCGCTGTTCTCTCAACCTACCCAGGGTCCACATAATGATACCGTCTCCAGCGTCTCCTGAACCATAGCTGTCTCAAGCATGTGCGTGTCGCTCCCAACCCCGGAGCCGGCAGAGGGAGGAGTGCAAGAAACCGATTAATTCCTCGGTTCTGTTGGTCCCTTTGAAAACCCGGTACGAAGCAGCTTGCTCTGCTACTGCTACTGCGGCTGCTGCTACTATGCTGCTGCTGCTGCTGCTGCTGGTGCTGCCGCTGCTGTGACGGCAACGACGACGACGACTACTACTACTTCCACTAGACTTCTACTAGTAATTACTACTACTAGGACACGTTGACAACGACGACGGCTGACTACGATTGCGAGTGCAGTTAGCACGGTGGCGGCGACTGCGACGGCGACAAATGTACCGCGAATGTTCGAATTACTCTGATGATCATGCTTATGGCATTGGGCTACCAGTGGGCTACCATGGGCTACCCCTATCAGGGTACATGCTGGAGTGCCAATGGATGTGGTAACAGTTGTTGCCATCACACGCAGTACACGTCTGCCTGAGGCAGTTCACAAAGACGGCGAGGGCCGGGTCTTCTACGGAAACTCCTCGACTGGCGAGACCGCCTGGGAACACCCCCTGGAGGCTCAGCAGCCTCAGCGCCTTCGGTTCGAAGACTGGCAAATGTGGCCAGGAGATCGTCCGTGAGCTCGCTGGCGTCTGCCGTGCCGGGTGCCCGCCATCTTGAGTCAGGTGGCTTTTTCATGTTCTTACTGGGTCAGGCAGGATGTTGAGGGAGTAGGGAGAGTTATTACATCTTGTGAGCCAGACCACGGCAATGTTGGAAAGAGTTAAAACGCGCCGACTGTGCATTCTGGTTCAGAAGTGCCTGAAGTATTGGTGCACACAGTACTTTCTCTAGACCGTGGACATTACAACGATTCGGGCATGCATGCTCTCTTGCAAAGTCGCGCTAATCACGGTCGGGCATGGACGCTCTCTTCCGGATGGCATCGCGGTTCGGCCATGGATTTCATACCTTTGGGTCGAGTCTGGAGCATCAGACTTTCTGACACGAAACTGTTGTTTCGCTCGGCTGGAAAGCGTGGTTTTCAGACACAGATTCGGGACGACGCTGTGCGATTTGCTTTCGCAAATCACGGTCTGAACGGTCACCCCCTCCGTAAGGCAAGAGAGAACGTGGCCAGTCGAAGCAGACATGCTCAGGTTTGCGTTACTCTTTCGCGACCCATGCGGGAACGATCAATTGTCGACCTACGGGAAGCTTGGGAGGCTTGCATGTGCTTCGCTGCTCTGAGCATGAGTTAGGTTCAGCAGTGTCGCAGCTGTTGTCGTGCTGTCGCAAGCACTGTTAGCCGGAGATGTTGTCGTATACCATATACTTCGTTCTCCATTCTCTGAACCTCGCAAGCAGGCACAAGCGAAGGAAGAGTTTGCTTTGTGGTACAGTGTGAAAGACAGTACCACAGGCAAGGAGTGGAGACCTCAGCAAGCAGCCGTAGCGCGCAGCGCTACTGAATTCCTCTCTACTGCTGCTAAGTTACTTCTGCAACTCCCGAACCGGCCAGGCCAGAGGTTTGCTTGTGATTTCGCCTGTCAGAACTCTTGAATTTTGCAGACGATGTGGGAGCATCCGGCAGAAGTGCTTCTGCCTGCGCGGGCTTCAGAAAGCAGTTACATTCCCTGGCGGTGGCTGTTGTGCAGCCGTCTGAGGGCCACTTCCTAAAGCTCCGCGCGGCGGACAGGCCTCCCTGTAGCCCAGCGTTGGGATTCTGGACGACTTCAATTCAGTGTTCTGAGTGTGCGGCGCGACTTTAGACTAGTAGTAGCAGCCACGCTGTGTTCAGGCTCATCGATGACGAGTACCTCCAGGATCTTGCAACCATGGGCAGCGTGGCTGCGAAGCGAAGCGTAGTTGTTTTGGTGGTGTGACGGCATTCATGCTTGGAATAATCTTCGTGTCTCTCAGGCAGTACGTTGAACGAGGGCTCTGGACAAACCTGGAACTCCATGAAACGGACGCGGGGATCCTTAACAATGCTGCTTTCCTCTCGCCGCAAGCATGGCCTCTGCTGCCATTCAGGTTGGAATCTGGGATTTCCACTCGGGCTCGCCTGGCTCGATTGTGAACATGATGTGTCGCAGGTCCATCGGCGATGAAGTGATCATGCCGACCATGCTGAGGCATCCAACGACGTGAAGGACGATGCTCATCAAGCCATGAAGGAAGAGCTCGCGGGACGCACAGAGACACGAAGCCAAGGGCGATTCCATGGACATTCCATGGACATGGGCCCTTGAGGCCTCCACAGCCACGGAACTGCGAGCGGCCCGCGAAGATGCTGCCAAAGTGGGATGCCGGTCTCGTCGATCCACGTCCGATGGTCCCTTTCTGCAGGTGAGGGCGCAGTTCGAGGCGCTCAAGGAGCGCTTCGAAGAAGCGAAGAGGCCGTGTTGCACAGAGCGTTGCCACGCGCGAAAGGGTTCGGGCTGTTTCCCTGGAGGACTGCAGAGAATGAGGAGATGCTCCGGTCCAAAGCGGAGGTCCAGTCATGACCGTGCTTTGGCCCAAAAGTCCTGCCTGCAACCTCGGAATCCCAGGCCAGACTTGAGCAAGAGCAGCAGAAACTGGAGGGGGTGCTTCTCTCAGTGAGATGACCCAAGCGTGGCAGACATGCAGGACGGCGCTTGGCATGTTCGGTTTCCTGCGTAGGTGCAGAAGGATCTTGATATCCTCAAGGACAAGTTTGACCAAGCGCAGAGGAGTCTGGGAGCGTATTCGGTGACATGCGCTCTGACAACAGCACCTTGTTCGGCTTTTGTTCCATCTCCCTACTCGCAAGGAGCGCACAGGATGTGGAGCTAAAGCACTCGCAAGCAGAGGATGGGGTCGGGTTGCAAAGATATCACTTGGCAGTGCGTTGCGGATGGCAGGCCAAGCTCCAAGAGGAACAGCAGAAACTCCAAAGCGTGTGTTTCTGAGACTTTATCTGAGAGTTGCGCGATCTGAGTAGCGGGTGCCCTTTGCGAGCTCTAGAGCGCGAGGCTATAGCAGAGTGTGAAGCCTTGAAGCAGCAGCAACAGGCAATGTCTCGTGTGCCTTCGCCTCTGTGCCACGCACCTGCCATGTGTCAGGCATCCAACGAAAGCAGCGCGGATGCACAAGCGACCATTAAGCAGGAGCTGGCCAGGGTGCTCAGAAGACTCGGGAGTGACTTTGTGCAGCACGAGGGGAAGTCTCAGAGTCAAGAAAACTGCTCGTACCACCAGGATCAAACATGCATGTTAAAATGCATAATTGATAGTGATTAGACCGAAGAAGCAGGCGATGATGGCGATGATGGTGTTGGTGTTTGTGCTGATGCTGATGCTGATGTTGATGTTAGCCATCATCATGACGGTGCGCTTGCATGGTCTGGCACGCTTACGCACAGCAAGAATCCCAGCTCAAGTCGCGTTCGCGTTTTCTTGTACCTGGTCACGTGCTGGAATCTCCGAGGCAAATGCCTTTCCTCCTCAAGTCGTGTGTGATCGGGCTACATATGGGTACACTACCTGTGCGTGTGAGGGCAGCAGACATTTGCGTATATGCATTTCGAGGCATGCATGCATACATGAGTGCATACGCACATGCACACGTACAAACACACATGCATATATATACACACACGCACAGAGACAGACATGCCTACACACGCTTGTATCTACTTGCGCATGTAGGTCTATGTATATGTATATGTATATATATATATATATATATATCTGTACGTGTCCATGTATGTGCAGATGCATATGCGTAAGTAGGATTAATACAACTAGACAAAACATGCGCAAGTGTGTCTCAGTTTTAAAGACCATATGTCGAGCGTGCCACCGTGCTGGTGCAATTCGAAGACATTTTCTCCGTTGAACTCGTGGTTCTTGTTTCGCACAACACCAGGGTCTCTAACAATTCCGGAGCTGGCCCACAAAATCCATGTCTTCTGCTTCTTCCAAGTCGGCACCTTGTTCTTCCTGCTTTGGTCGCGGCAACTGTTGCAGCATTTTGCAGCCTAGTTCCTCTTCCCGGATGTGGGCTGTAAGACCGGGGCAGTGGCCGTTGGGACCAGGCTGCCACGACGGAGCAGCTGCAGGCCGCAAAAGACATGTTGGCCGAAGCACAGAGGCCCTGGTTTCATCATGGCTGAAGCCGAGAAAGATATTTGTTGTAGTGCAGTGCCGCAGGAATGCGCAAGAAGTCGAAGTGAAGCGGTCGCAGGTACAGGCGAGCCGAGAAAGTCAGAGCCTGCCCAGCATGCCGGCATGTTCGAAAGTCGTGCACAGCCAGTGAGAGTGTAGCTGCGTAGCTGTGGGAGGCTGTTGTGAATGTTTGGGATCTTCGTGGTGCCTGGAGCCTTTGCACACTCACGAGCTATCTGTTTGGTGGAGGTGCAGCTTGAGACTGAGCAACAGCGGCTTCAAAGTGCCCGGTGCCAAGTAGGCTCGAACGCCGCGAGGTTACGGCAATCACGAAGAGTCTGCGCTCTGAGCAAGAGAACTGAGGCAATTACCGAATGCGAGGCTTGGAAGCAGCAGGCCATGCCCGAGCATTCGATGGGTATAACAGGGATGGAACTCGTAACTTCTTCTCACATCCCCGAAGAGGCCATCGCCAGCAAAGACGGCTCAGAGCAGGGCATGAAGCAGCTAGAGCAGTTCTTGAGTGCACCGCGCTGAGATCTTTCTGGTCACAAGACTTTGGCGGAAGGCGCTATAGAACCCGACGAATATTCTGATGATGATTGTCAGTATCGTCATAACTATGGTTATTGCTATGAAGGTTCCTTTCTGTGGACCGTGTGGAGCATGACGCCCGCTAAGGGAGAGCTGGAAGCCGAACGCAAGCGAACAGACGGGGCCCGAGAGCTCCCAGAGTGCTTCATCAAGGTGAGCAGGTACCTTTGACTTAGTGCTTGAAAATGCTGGATTTCTGGTTAAACTTAGCACGATGTATTTCAGACACAGAGGGCCGTGTGATGACATGAGCACCCGCTCCAAACGGTCAGGGGCTTTTCGATTTCATCTCTCAGGCAGAGCTTCAGCAGAAGCTCGCCGAGCAGACCTCGCTGCCTGCTCAATGAACCTACCCAGTGCTTGACGGCATTTTGCAGTTTGCCAAGGAATCAGGCTTCCGAAGCGGAAAGCTTAGCTTGCATACACGTTGTCAATGCCAGATCACTGAGCTGTGTGCATTTCCTGCAGCTGCTTTGTGTACAGACATGGCGCAGATCAGGGCTTGTTCACTGGGCACCAGCATCAGATTCGTTTGACGGCCACAATAGCTTTTCCTTTGAGTTCTCCGACTACCAAGCCTGGTAAGTTGTCGTTGTCGTTGTTTTAGCAAGCCTATGCAGCAAAGTCTAGCCTATGCTCTAGACTCAGTAGACTTCGCGATGCATGACGTGCAGCGCCAATACATGTGAAGAAGCGGCAGCACTGGACTTTGCCGGACCGAAGTCTCTGCAGCCTCATGAGAAGGTATGCCTTATGCGGCCCCAACAAGCACTCGGCAATCAAGAGCGAGTCAGTGCCTGTCTGCGCAGGACCAATGTCCTTGGCCAAAGTCCATGTCTTCCGACGGCCTCGAAGACTTAGAAGTCAGAGCAGCGAAGATCGTGAAAGCTGTACAGCGTGCCTGTCTCAGATTCGACCAGGAGGTTGTTTCGACACATACTGGCTATGCACATTTTCCCTCTAAGGTCTGGATAAGCGGATTCAGAACAAGGGAAGGCTGTTGCGCTATATTCGGTCAGAGATGGCAGTATGCGACTCGGGAACACCTTGTGTGTCCTGTTGCCTCGTATTGCATTGCTCGCCAGCCTTTTGGTGCTGTAAGGCCCTCCAAAAGAAGAAGGACAAACATCAGGACTGTACAGAGGACGGCGCCCCCTCTGCGTCTCTGGTCGCATGTCCGTTCTTCTTCTCATGTTTTGGGAACTGCTGCCGGCAATCGCTGGCACATGCAAGGCAATGGAGTGCAGCAACCTGCCCTACTACCAGGCTATAGTTGAGATGTGCCACGCTGTGGTCGCTTGTGGCGTCCTGAGACGTTTCAGTGCAGACGATGCCCAAGTGACATTTGAAGTCACTGCCGGCTTGGCAGCAGGCGCGGGAGCGTTTTGTAGCGCTTGCGTCAGACTCAGAGTTTGGTCAAGTCCAACAGACCGGGCCGGAGGCGCAGTCGCTTGGATCAAGTGCTTTGCTCGATCCCAGCACCGCTTGGAGCATGACCACATCCTGGATCTGGCAAAATCCTGTCTTCACATCGCCAAGATGAATGTCATCGGAGATGCGCCGCAGCTAAATCGCAAGAGGTACAGTCCGGTAGCCATGCTTTTGATACAAGTTGAGTTTTGGAATCGTCGATCTACTATTTGCTAAACTTGCTGTTATTCTTGCTGTTTTGTCCTCATCGCAAGCCTTTCTTTTTGCCACCGTATCCAATATTAATATTGCCATTGAAATGATTGTTAATAGGTTCGATTCATTTACTATCGCTCGTAAGCATGTAACCATGTTGACGTTGCTTGCGGTGTTCAACCACTGAATGATATTGTGTCTGGTTATACGCATTGTTGTTACTGTGTTTGTTGTTATTGTCACAATTTTGTTCGACTGTTGGCATGATGACCATTACTTCTATCCTTTGGTACTACACCCCTCGCCGTTGCCACGAGCTGTTAGCTTTTCCAAGGCCGCGGGTGTGCTTCCGCTTCTTCGGGGGCTTGCCGCCATCTCTCGCGGCAGCTGTCGCGGAACTCGGCATTGATGTCGCGGAGGGTGCAGTGCCGCCACAAGATTCGTCAAGGACTTTCATGCGACACAAGCCCTCGCATGCGAGCTGCAGTATTCTCATGCGCCTGGGCGATTTCGCCGCGTTCAGCGCGTCGGCAGGACAACAGCGGACTCCATTAACCTGGACACGACTACTCTGATCGCATTGACTTCGAACTTGTCTCATGGACAGGTGTTTTGGCTGCATCGAGTTCGCCAGCTTCGAACCCGCTTGGTCGACCGTATCTGAAATGCTTCGGTAGTTGCGAAGGTCGGCTGGACTTTCAAAGATGCAGAGCTCGAGAAGCAGGCGCTTGGGAGAAGCCTAGACCGGCCTAGGCAGGCCCTCCTCCCAAAGCCCGACCACAGGCAGCAATGGAAGCCAAGGCGCGTGGCCAAGACGGGTCTTTGTCTCTCATCAAATGGTGACTTGGGGACGTACTTGGCAGGAGCCTGTCCTGCAGCAGCTTGCGTCAATCCTGGGGGGCCGGCGGCTTGTGGTTTCCTCCACAGCCCTCGAGACCTACAAAGAGCTGATCGAGAAAATGGCCGGCGGCTACGCGACTCGGCGCCGGGATGCCGGCCCAGCCAGCTTCCGCAACACAGCGGGAAACCGGAATTTCTGTAGCAAGTTGGCCAGCTTCGGGTGTGTAGAGGCCACGATTGATGCAGTTGGTCAAGAAACTGAGGAACGGAAGCGTGCTGACGAGATCGTCGCTGCACTCACCGTTGCTGAAGCAGTGCCTCGGAGTGATGTCGTCGTAGCAGTAGTAGCAGTAGTAGTAGTAGTAGTAGTAGTAGTCACCATAGTGCTATGTATGGGTACCAATGAAACTAAAAGTAAGGAGTAGTCTATAGTAAAGCCGTTGTGAAAGTAATCGCTGTCGTGATAGTAATACTAGTAATTACTAGTACTGACAGCGGCAGTGATAGTGACAGTGGTACTGGGTTTTGACACTGATAGTTTCTGATAGTTACAGTTGTGGTGATAGTGACAATAAAGGGCAATATTCCTAGTAATAACACTACAAGTAGTAGTACTCGCACAACAACGACTGTCATAACACTAACAGTACTGATGATAGCATAGTCTCTAAAAAGGAACAACAGAAATAGTAGCAGCAGTAGCAGGAGTAACAACGTCCTTGTATATTAGCCATACGTATAAATGAGCATCTATGCACAACGTGTGCAGCAGTGTAGCCGTATGCCTATGAGAACCCTGGGCATTGGCATTGGAGCAGGGGAAGTGCCAACGATATTGAACCGACAGGTACCGTGGCATTTGCCGCCAAGCTTTTTCTTTCATTCTTGGTACCATCATTGTTCCGCTTACGTGTGCTGGTACCGTTGTGGTCAGCAGTACCACTACTGTTGCTATAACTACTGTTCATTCTTAATTACTGTAATGATTGTAAATACTACCAGTACTATGTCTAGGATCATGTATCATGACGGTTATGGTGGTCACATATGACCATGAGTCTGACCCTTCTTAAATGATATAACAGCAGAATCTAGAGGTTTATCAGCAGCATGCGTTCTGCAACCCAAAACCCTGGCCACGAAAGGCTTCTTTGCTTGAACAAACAAAAACCAAACTAGTCCGAACTGAATATACTATATTCAACATCGGCACTAAAGGGGGACGGTGCTTGTCAAGTTTTGAAATGCTTTTTTCCCCTGAATGAGTCACCCTTACCTCAGCTTAGCTGCTTGGGCTCAGGAGCGTCCTGATGGATTCTTGACGTCTCGGAAGGTCTCGGAAGACATGCTCAAAGTGGCTCTGTTGCCTTGTGGCTTTGGGTTGAGGGTTGTGGTTCAACCATCAGGAATAGTGTATTGTTGTCGCAGATGCTGTCTCGCACGCTGCATTGCACACTGGCATACTGGCTCTGAGCTGCAGTCGATGCATCAGGTTGTCGGCGTTGGGCTTAAGCATGGAATCCCAACCTGTATGGCAAACACCAAGGCGCGGCAGGCATTTTGGTTTCTTTTGGGTAGTTGTAGTTCCGGCCAGCCCCGATGCACGGACAGGCAATGAGATCGATCCAAGACCAGAGGCAAGGAGTCCACCTTTTGCAACACATGCCACGTGCTCTTACCGAAGGCGGGAGTGCACTTCACTGCATGATTCTTGGCGAAAAAGACGACGCACAAATCCACGGACGCTCATGTGTGTCTTGTAAAAGATCTCAGCCTGGTCTCAGGCGCACAAAGCAAAAAGACTTCGAAAAGGAACGATCGTCGTCATCCTATGCAGGCTGAAGAGCTGCAGAAACTGTTCGACTACATCCTCGGTGTAGGCCCCATCTGCTTCCGCAGTTGGCTTGAATATGATATGAATTCCGATATCCGAAAATAGTGGGAAGCACTCGATGTACTTTGCTCGCCCAGACAACTCACTGAGACTCGACCTGCACGTATCGAAACGCTCTTGCTGCATCACGCTGTTCTGCCACAGTGTGTCCCAACCGACGTTTTACGTGATAGTGGGTGCCTTCCTTCTGTCGTTTTGTTTGACATGCTTGCAACAGCCCTTGTGTTATCAGAAATCCCACCTCCCCCAGAATCTCGTTCCTTTCCTGTGATGGATGCATGACATGTTGTGAACTGTGAAGTATGAAGCTCGAGTGCAGAAATGCAGTTGGACACTGCTCAGCCTCACTCACTTGCAGTCGGGTGGCATGGCCGCGAAATCTGCACGGCTTGTGCAGCCGGCGTAGCTTCCACAAGAACTTCGGGACCTTCCTTCAGGCTGACTTGGCGACAGCCGCAAGCGTGATTTTCAAGAACTTCGAAACAGGAGGCAATCAGGAAGGGGCGCCGGCGGCCTCGGCTGACACCAGGGCGAATGGGGCACACCTGGTTGCAAAAATCGTACACAAAGCTCACGGAGCAGATTACACCAAACCCAACGAAGAACGGATGGGTCCAATCGGCCGCCTGTTCGAAATCCTCAGGGATTTCCTTTATGACATTTCGATTGGGGGTCCTCCTCGTTGCGGATGCCCGCGAGAGAGTCTGTCAACCTGAAGCCCTAAACTCATTTCCAAGCCTTGAGGGAGACTAACAGCGAGCAACGGCCGCTTTGGTTCCTTTGTTGCTGGGCTGCAGACGTGTGAAACCTGTGCCTCCTGCGCGGCCTATTGCGGCCTCAGCAACGACTTCGAGTCCTTTTTCAAGTCTCAGTTTGCGACGGCCGCAAGCACGGTCTTCAAGATCTTCAAAGGGAAGCCGAAATCCAACTGGGACGACTGTCGAGCTTCGGCTACAGCCGGAGCGAGACCTTCGAGGGCACATGCCAGCTGCTGAACCCCACGGGCTGCAATCGGGCCCAACCCCCTCGACACCACAAGCACTGTCGGGCTGTCGGGCCTTGGCCTGGCCCGCTCGGAACCCTGCGAGGAACAGCATGCAGTGCTGGTTGCGAAAAGAGCATCACTGAGGTTTCCCATGCGTGCTCCAATGATGTGCTGTGGTTGGCATTGGCAGGTGATGCGCCAGGAGGGGCTCCAGTCGTGGGGAGCACTGACCCCACGGATTCCCTCTCAGAGGCGGTCGACGCTCAGGAGGAAAGTCGGCTTTTGCGTGCGGGGGGCCGTTTTTGCCTTCAAAAGATGTTTGCTGCCTCGGACTCAGGATGGAGCAGACGCATCCGGTAGCCTGGTGCAATGTTTTGAAGCGGTTCAGTCGATCCATTTCTTGCAGTGTTTTTCATGATGCACTGTTAAGGATCTGAGTTGGGTGATCCGCGCAGTCTCGCGACCTGTCTGCGAATCGAGTGAGTAAAGGACAGATGCATACGGCTGCAGCCAATACGTAGATGAAAACCCGTGATCAGGATGCCGGCCCTCCGCTGGACCTTACCAGCATTTGTGCTTGCATTCTGGCAGATGAGACTTTCCGTGGCTGGACTGCAGAAGTTCCGTGTCATGTACTTCAACGCATGGGCGGCGCTAACGTTGGGCACCTTCCAATGCGCAGTGCCGGATCTAGACCATATCTTGAATCTAGACCCAGTATTGTTCAGACGTTCGCGCACGCTGATATGACCCAGTATCAGCAATTGACAAGAATGTAGGGGGAGTTGGGAGTCGTTTCTCTGCAAGGTGAGAAATGCCCGAGCCTCAATTCCCTGTTGTGAGATTAAGATGCCCTTGGACGATCGTACCATGTAGAATCAGACCGAGGCACGCAGTGCCTTGCAGAGCTCAAACAGGCGACCGAACGTGTGGTGAGAGCCTTTGTTGTTGTTGCCGAACACTCTGCCGCCCTGGTCTGGAGGCTTGCAAAGAAGCCTTTTCAGGGCCCGAGTTTCAGATGAAGCCGTTCGACTGGTGCCCTGAGCCAGTCTTGACAGCCTTTGGCTCCACAGTGCAGGAGCGCTACGGGATATGCATACATATGTACTTCTTTCGTCAAACAGGCATTGGAAGCTGGATAGCCGGTTGAACTCTGCATGTAGCCTGGGCTCAGAGCCTGGAAGTAGCACGGCGTGCAGAATGCACGGGAGCAGAAGACACGTTCCAAAAAAACACACTGTCAAGGCAGGAGGAGGCTCCTTGAAGGTCTTGAGGCTTCGAGTACCACAGCTCACCAGCGGACCTATCGCGATACTTAGCATTTTCAGGCAAAGCTTGCCCCTGACAGGGCACAGCCATCAAGACGTCAGATCTCGACGTTCGCTTGTCCTTCGAGCAGTTTGAAGTAAGGGCCAAGGCTCGCGACGTAGCCGAACCATACAGTGAAACTGCAAATGGCCATGTCAGGACAGACAAGTCCTCTACCTCACCGCACTCTCGAAGCTTCATGGAACTGCCTTCGAGCTCGATCAGTTGATTGCAACCGTGCTAAGGCTGCAAAGTTCTTGAGGTTTGCGCCAGGCTGTTCCTGATTGACCAAGGTTTTGAGATTTGAGAGTAGCTACTTGTAGTGCAAGGTTCTAGGAAAACTTGGGGAAAACTTACAGCCCAGCTCAGGCGAGCTTGCCACTGCTGCGCCTCTGGTATCGCCAACTCCAGGTGGACATTACAATGGGGCTCACAGATGACCTGGAGGTGGACAAGGTTCTGGCGACAATCCTCGATTCGGCAGCGCCTGCCGTACGGAACATGGTGTGCATGGCCAAGGTGCCTGTCCTGCAAGTGGATTCTCTTCGTGAAATAGCGTTGACCGCGGAAATCAGCACGAGCTTAGCAGGCTTCAGGATAAGTCGTGCCGGACCTGACAGGATCATAGGGATGTGAGAGTTTTGACAAAAGATCGGGCCACGATGTGCAACTGCTTAGAACTGCACCGCGACAGTGTAAGCAAGTACGGGTTGTAGGATAGCCTAGACTACTGTAGTCTGCTATTGGAAGTTTCAGACCTCGAAGATGAGCTGCTGAAGTATTTTGGTATCTAGGTCGCAACGGTCGTTTCGTCTCTGTGTCTCAGTGCCGGGGCGTCTTTGGGCATCCTTGAACTTTTGGCAAGCTTCGGGGCCTAAAGTCTGACTGAAAGCCTCAACGGTGTGAGTCGTCCATCCTGCATCTCGAAGTAACTGTTGAAACCATCGCAGTATCAGTCAGCCAGTTCTGTCCCAGGCTTTCGCTAAAACCAACGATCTCCTCAACGCCTACTCGGGCTACTTGAATGCGGTGTCCTGGGTTTGCTTATGCATCGCTTTCCTCAAAGAGGTGCGGAGAGCCAGTTGCCATTTGCTTACCTATCCAAACACACCACACAAACTGCCAGGAATGTGATGATGCCCTGCAAACCATCCCGCTTGATGTTTGCACCTTCTCCAGGCCGGGCCGTCCAAAAGTTGTGTTTCTGTCTTTCAATGCAGATTTCTGCAGAGCTGGCAGGTTTCTGCAGTTCGTTGCCAAGAGCTGCCGGCGACAGCGCCACATATCGCTGGGGGCAAGCAGATCGAAGGGTGCGCGGCATGGCCGAGCCACGCTCTCCGGCCTGCAGGTAGCGGTATTTGCCTCGGCCTATCTTGGCCCCGCGCGGCGCGAGAACCGAGGCTCTTTATCGAGCATCCGACGAGTCCAAACAGGCCGACTTGACAGCTGTCCGCCTGGTCTTCATGCTTTTTGCAAAGAGCACGACATGATGGATGATCGTCCAGGAACTTGGCACAGTGCCTGCGACAAAGCCCTGCCAAGAAGACCGCTGAAGCATGCGAGCGATCGGCGAAGCAACTTCGCGGCCGCATGGCAGATAGCTTTCCCAGAAGAGTTGTGGAACGGAAAGACGGTTGCCCATGTCTGAGGTTGCCCCAATGCAGGACACTGGTCTTTTCTCACGATGTCTAGGCCGATGTCCGTTTCCCGGTACCCCACGCGAGATGGCGCACGAGGAGCCCTCGAAGAGACCCTGCGAGGTCTCCTGGGCGTAAGGCGCGCCTTCTTACTCCTCGATGCGCAGACATGGATGGGCAGACTGCGGACTTGGCGTGTCTCCAGGAAGCGGAAGGCCGACCCGGAGAAGGAGAGAGCCTCGAATGCTAGAGCTCCACACGAGCGTTTTCAGTGCCTCTGCGAGCTGAGGCAACGGAGCAGCCTGTGAGCCTGAACGCGAAAGGTGAAAACGATCTGCCCGTCATCGGATTTCCCGGATTTCCCAGACCGAAGATGCTGCCATGCTCCCAACCTCCCGGCCCAGGCCGCTGCGACCGCGGCGCTTCGTCAGGAGCTTGAGTGACACCCTCAGCTTGTACAGGGCATCAGCTTGCCACCGCCCTGTTGCAATTCGCAGCACTTCGAAGCCAGCTTCAGAATAATCGCACCCATTTCTGCGCTAGAGTCGCTAGAGCCCGGAGCCTTGATCCGCTTCCTTGACTCTGGAGGCAGCAAAAAGAAGTGTGCGCCTTAAGTTGCGGCTTTCCGCGATGGCAACAGGCCCTCAGAGTTGTGAGATGCCCCTCAGAGCAGGCCGAAGCGTCTCTGCATAAAACCGTGCAGAATCTGCAGGCACAAAGTCGGAGCATAGTGTCCGATTTGCCTCAGTCAAGTATCTCTGTGTTCTGCAGGCAGAGCTGGAGCAACAAAAGGCTTGGTGCGGTGTCACTGTTTGGGCATGGACACGGCGCACACAGCCGTGGCCAGGCCTCCAGCAACAGCACAGCCGATTCCCAGCAGGCCACGGCGAAAGAATTGGCAGAGGGCTCGGCTCAGAGGCTTTCGTTCCCGGAAATCTGGCCGCACCTCAAAGGAGACGACCGCGTCTGAGCTGAAATCAGCTCGAGCAGAAGCAGACAAGGCATGCGAATCACGCGAGATTGTGCAATCGGAACGATGTAGAGAATCAAGCTACCTGCAGGTGAAGGAAGAGTTTGAGGCGCTCAAGGAACGCCTCGATGCGGCTCAGAGGACTCTCGCGATTTCACCTTATCTGCGTCCCCGCGACCGTCGTTCCCAGTTAATGAGGAGTGCAGAAGAGGTGGAGCTGAAACGTTCGCAGGCGGAGGCTTCCGAGCTGCATAGCCTTCAAAGAGAGGGGCTCTATGCAGCAGTACTGTTGTCTCTCGTGCTCGCTGGTGCGGATGATCGCAGGAAAAGCTGGCGGCTGAACAGCAGCGGTTAATCGCTGCTTGTTACTTACGGGGCTTTGAGCTGATGGTGAGAGCCCGCGGCTTGCCCATGATGTGTCTTAGGTGCAGGAAGAACTTGACATGCACAAGGAAAGCGCGCAGAAGCTCCAAGCTGAATTCGATGCGCAAAAGGAGAGCCTACAGACAGCGCAGAGGACCCGACATTGACCTTCCCGCACTGCCGTTGGCATGTCAGGCAAGTGGAACGATGCTTCACGATTGCTTGCTGAAGGAGTACCGACGAGACTGACAAGAAACGATCCGTAATGGAGGCTGGGTTTGGCTGCCCTTGTGCCTCACGTACGGACTTTCCGAAGCTGCCCAGGAGCAACTCGCAGCGGAGCAGCAGAAATTGCAGACTGTCGGGCACTCATTGACAGTCTTGAGACACGAGGTACGGTGCGTGTGTTGCTATCAAAAGCAGGTGCAAGCCGAGCTCGATGCGCAAAAGGAAAGCTTGAAAGAAGCCCAGAGGACTCGTGAGCCAAAACACTCCTAAAGCGAGCACATCAGCATTGTGCTGTCATGTTGGAGGAATGCACATGAGCTGGAAGTCAAGCGGTCACAGGCAGAGGCGTACGGCCTGGATGTCCATTCAGTCTCATCGGAGTCGCAACAGCTTGAATTCGGGTGAGGCGCAGCTTGCAACACAGCAGCAACGCCTGCAGAGTGTATCGCACCCAGAACAGGTCGTGTTCCCTTTGCTTTGTGAGTTTTTGTGGTCCTTTCTCTCCTCTTTGCCATGGTGAGCTGCAACCGAGGCAGTGGACGAGGTCGAGATTTGGAAGCAGCAGGCCTGGGGGAGCACAGACACGGAGGGAAACTTGCAATGAGCTCCGCTCCAGGCCACTGCAAGCAAAGATGGGTCGCAAGAAAGCGTAAAGAAGCTGCAGGAGACTCTGCTGGCACGGCCCTCAATGAGCATGGTCAAGTAGGGTGGCGAAATGTCGCCCGAACTCTTATGCCTCAGGCCGATCTCCAGGCTGAGCGCCAGCGCAGTGCAGGGGCCGCGGAGAGTTTGAAGGATGCCTGTTTTTACAGATGGGATACCGTGACCAGTAATTTTGTAGAAGCCTGTTTGACGAGCGAACCACCGCTTTGGAGATGTCCCTTGGGAAAACCTTCAAGTAGCGGAGTCGATACTCAAGAGCTGGTCGAGGACAAGAGCAGCCAGAGAGGCCACATGATGCTGCTGTTGGTCATGATGCTTGCCATGATCACGTTGATGGTAACCTAGTAAGGATTAGCAAATGCAAAATCAATCAGAAGAACATGAACGAGGGCGACAACACCAATACAGCAACATTTGCTTTCGTAGCATTGATAGCCATCGCCACTATTACAACAGCAGCTGGGCCGCAGCATTAACCGCAGTAGCAGCAGCAGCGGTTGCGACGACTGCTGTTATTAATGACAGCCATCGCGCTCATGAGCATGAAGAAGAGTAAGCGATGGCTGCTGCTTCTGCCGCTGCTGCTGGTGTTGATGAGGATGATGGGGGTTACGAAGATGATGCATGCCCGGGTTAGGGTGACAACGGCGAAGAAGAAGAGTGCTTTCCTCTGAAGACTGGGTTGCACCAAACATCACCTACTCACCTTTGAATGGGTCGACACCAACCGAGTCTTTCCTCTGTTCTCAAGACCAACCAGATGGACTGACTCGTTAGAGCTGCCATTCCTGTTTTGACGTTCCGCAGTCCATGCAGATCGGTGCTGAGGCAACTCTACAGCAAGAAGTTGCCCTCCAAAGCTCGTGCCTGCCCATGAAACGCTGTTCACGTTCAGCTTCCGTCTGTCCGTGCATGGAGAGGAAGTTTCTAACTGCAATGACTCAGGAAGCAAGCGGCGGAAGTGGCAGACTCGGCATTTTCTAGGCGGTATGTGTGGGGAAGGCTCTTGCTGTTGCGAATCAGGCAGCCGCCATGCAGCAGCTTCAGGATGAGCTTCAGCCGGAGCCTTTTTGAAATCGCTCTCCTGAGAAGTATCTTCAGCTGCCGTTGTGCATCCTAAGTTCGTTGTTCAGGCGACAAAAAGCAGCTCTTCACTAAGCTTCAGTGCATGTGTTGGTGCGTTGAAGTACAGTTGGCAATGTCCATCTGGTGCAGTGACTGCCGTCGCTTCGCTTCGCCGGTCTGCAGGCCGAAGTGACCATGAGGGCGACGATGCAAACGCTTCAGGTGGCCGCTGCAGTGAGTGAGATCACTGCAAACATTGCGCGGTGGCCGCTGCAGGCAGAGCTGGAGCAAGAGAAGGCATCTGACACACGTATGTATACTTTTCCCGCTGCATGCTACACAACGTGCGTACAATGCAAGGCAGCGGTGCAGCAAGAGGTGGCAATACGGACTGCGCATGCGTCTCAGCACTTTGGGTTGGGTGTGCATCCAAGTATTGCCAAGTATGTCTGAGAATGTAGTGACAGCGGGCAGAGTTAGTTAAGCTGTTAAGTTGGGTCAAGTCTCAGCTTGGTACCAGCATCAGCTGCCTGTCGTGCATAGCAATCTTGTCGTCCAGTGTGAGGCTTGTCGAGAGGAAGCGCGCGAACAGTAAGTGGGCTACTTGTATTGGAGATCATGTCATGCACTACAGTGGTTTCTGAGGAGCAAAGCTGCCGATGCCAAGTCCTCAGGATCCAGAGCAAAGAGGTAAAACCGGGCCTGCACCTGAACCTTCCTTGTAGTGCTAGGCGGTTAACGGCTTTGCACTGCAGGCGTCTGCGACCCGGAATCTTCAAGAAGAGCTGGAGTTTCAGCCTCACAAGTCTTTTGATGCTGGAGTACTCAGTACTCAAGTAGCCGCAGTCTCGAGCGCAGTCGTTTTGGCTTGTCAGGCGTCGGCAAGCCGTCGCGGACCCAGCTTTGCATTCTCTGTTGATGCTACTGCTACTTGGGAGATCTTTGGAGACCTGAGAACTGCAGGCAGAAGCAACGCTGCGCACGACGATGCGGAACCTTGAGGCAGAGCTGGCTGAGCTGCTGTATGCCTCGCAAGACATGGGCATTGCTATGTTTTCCCCACAGGAAGAGTTGGCGCAGGAAAGGGCTCGTGTGCGAACCTCGGCACCATGCAGCGAGAACGCCTCTATGCTGGTATTTCAATTTCAATGTGGCATGCTGTGGTTTCCCAGGCTGCAGAGGCTGCATCAAAGTATGCTGCAGTATCAAAGGTGCGCGAGGCAGCTTCATTAAGCAACTCTTCCAAGCTGTTCTGCGTTGTTGGTGCTTTGCTGCTGGTTCACTCTCTCCCTCCTCAGGGTCAAGTCTTGTTCGTACTTCGCACTCAGTCGTCCAGTGTCCAGTCCAAGCTGCTCCTCAGTGAAGCGACTCCGGCCTTGAGCTCTGTGTCCCTCGACAGGCTGCCTTGCAGGAGGTCGATACCGTGGAGTCGCAGACACGGAACCTCCGGGAGGAGATGGAGGTCGCGGCGGCAGTGTGCGGCAGCTCGTGTCCGGGTGGGACTTGCGACGGAGGCTCAGCTCTTGGAAGAAAGGCAGAAAGCAGAGACCTCGGGCCTGGACATTGGACCTATTGCCGGTCCACGGTGCTCCCTAATCAGGCCAAGGAGTTGGAGGCCAAGTACGAAGCTTTGCGCGATGCTCACGAGGCTCGGCTCCGTGCGACTTGCCACAGCTTCAGGGCGTCAGTCTCGAGCAACTTCTGCTTTCATGACCGTGCGCTGCAGACGGCCGTCAGAGTCTTTGCCGAGAGCGTCAACGCGAAGGAGGATCAAGACTCGGGGTGCCTTGCTGAGCTGATGTGTTCAGCTGCAGCCGTACGCCAGGAAGCTTCGGCCAGGATGCCTCCAGCGGAAGGCACGGGAGACATGTACGAATGTAGGCAGGCATTCGCGAACGTGCCAAATTCTCGACAGAGGTTCAGACTAGAATAGTAACTCTCGAGTATGCCACCGCAGCTACACCGATTTATTTCTTCGATTTATATCCCTGCTTCAATTGATTTCTGGAAGAGATTCATGGGGATGGTCGCGTGAACGTGCATGCCTGGACCGGCAAAGCTGCATGCGTCCCATTGGGAACGAAGGATACATGAGGTGTGTCAACACGAGACATGTTTGCATGTACACATGGCGCAGAAAGGCCCATGATTCGGTTAGCACAGCCATCTGGTCCTGGCATACCGTTTTTCGCGAGATGCTCTGCTGATCTCGAAGGCTCAATCGCAGCCCAGGCTCTGCAGGTTGCAATCCAAGAGGCTCGCGGTGTCAAGCCCTGGACATGGCTTCCCAAGATGGGCGCTCCAGAGGCCCTTGGAAAAGAGAAGGCAGTCCGGGAAGGGCTCCTCAAAGACCAGGAGCTTTCTCCAAAATGTGCACCCGTCAGTGAGTTCGGGCGCAAAGCCCTAAACCCTAAACCACCCGCTTTGAAGGAGCGCTTGGAAGAGACCACGAAGAGCCTGCGGGAGCAGATGCAGAAGGTCCGCCGTCTTCGCAGGGCCAGAAAACCCCAAAAAACGGACAAATCGCTACTTAAACCCTGTAGCCCTAAGCCCTGAAACCTCTCTGCCCCCGCAAACCCCAAACCCTAAACCCTAAACCGTTAGCCTAAACCCTAAACCCTAAACCCTAAACCCTTCCCTCGCCCTGCCCCTTCCGGCCTGAGCAGGTCCACACCGTGGCGAGCGAGCTTGAGGTCGCTTTAAACAGCTCATGGTGCCGGTTTTAGGGAGTTTCAGGTTTTTGGGGTTTAAAGTTCAGGGTTGTAGGGTTTGTCAAATTTGGGTTTGAGGGGTTTAGGATTGATTGAGGGTTGAGTTTCAGGGCTGCCCCACCGGGGTTCAGTCGTCGTCGATTTTTTTGCATAATGCAAGAAGTATCCGTATGGTCGAGGGTGATGCATGAACTCGTACACACCCACGTCATTCGGACGCAGACGAAGGCAACGTGATATTAGCCAAGCATGAACAACCATCACGTAGAAATTGAAACGACGATGTACATCTTGATCGATGAACATGCAGTCTATGCGTACACAAGTCGTTTTTTGCTCATATAAATGTAGGTCAGAGAAAAAAGTGTGCAGATGTACAGATTTTACAGGTAGCAGTACTTTTGTGCTCGGAACTCACCCCACCAACCAGGGATGCGAGATTGGGACACCGGTTAAAGCAAGATCAAGCACAGTTGTGACTTATGCCCCGATGTAGTTTTATCTGAACTCAAACCGAGACTTTCTGCCAGTGCCAAGGATGCACGAACGAGATAGGGGCGCCGCTAGGAAATAGTGCTTTTCGACAGTAAAGCAAACAAAAGGGGCGACAGATAATATATACATATATATATATATAAGTATATACATACATACAGACACACACACACACACACATATATATATATATATACACATACACATACATACACATGTATATATATACACACATACACATACATACATATATATATATATATGCCGCAATATATCAGTATATACATATATATATATATATGTATATATTTATATCTATATGTCTGTATATATACATACATACACACGCATGTATGTATGTATGTATGTATGTATGTATGTATGTATGTATGTATGTATGTATGTAGACATAGATAAAAACATAGATAAAACATGAACATACATTCGTGTGTTCATACATATGTATGTATGTCTTTATGTATGTATGCATACAACCCTACACATACACAGTATCGTATGGCCAAATATATGGAGCTTAATACAAGTTGGCAAACGCAGTGGTGAGTAGGTATGTAACCTAACCCTGCTCTCAATCAGCCGCAACAAAGTTCACATGGTCAAGAATGGATGATGCATTCAAATCTACGATTGTAATGCTGCACTTGGCAGCAAATTGCTAGGGCACTTCGTTGCATTTCTTTGGCCTGACTACTGCTCTGCAGGCGAAAGTCCTGGAATCCAAATCCAGACTTGATGCAGCAGAAGGTGAACGCCGCACCCCTAAGGTGTTGGGCTGTTTGCCTGCACACTAGCAGTTCTTGACATGTATGTATAATACATACATATATGTGTATATATATATATATATGTACGTACCTGCGCAGTTTTTATATACTTCTGGTCCCAAACTCAGTGATGCAATACGTAGACCACTGCTGTATAGTTGATTGCGTGGGTGGAAGCTTCGCTGGGATGAGGTCGCGCCGTCGTTCAGACTGTCGTGTCCGAGGATGCTACTCATGCAGACCAGGCAAGCTGCTGCCGTTTAGAACAACCTGCACTCTTTGGGCACTAGAAGCGATGCCGTTTCTCTGAACGAGGCCTTGCGCAGGCAAATCGAGTCAGCTCGGCAGGTGCCGCCGCACAGCCACATCCGTGGATGGATTGCAGGGGATTGCAAGCTCAGGTCTTCAGCTGAAGCAGAGTTTCTCAGGTGTTGCATGTCGCTCCGATGTACAGGGTCTCCGATTCAGGCATTCAGGCCTTTGAAATCTTTACCGTGCTTCTGTGTCTTCCAGTGGCTGCAGACGACCATAGCGAGGCTTTTAGTCCGAGCCCGTTTAGACGACTGGACGCCTCATTGAACATGCGTCTTAGCCAGTGGTTGCTTGTGCATCATCATGTCATCCGCGCAGAGGTGGAGCTGCAGCTCGAGAGCAGAGCAAGTGCTGCCAAGGCATCCGGCAGTGTCGAGTTCTGCCTGCTTGAATTCTTAAAATCGAAGGGCTTCAGTTTGACAGAGCCAACTGCTATACAGAGCAGGGGCGACGATTTTCTTCAGGGTTCAAGATCGAAGTGTCATGCAATAGCCAGACGGGCAGGCTCGCCTTGAGAATAGGCACATAATGGCATCTACTGAGTAGTTTCGTGCAGGAACGTGTTTTTGCCCTCGCAAAGGCTTCGCTGGAGGAAGAGCGCCGCCGTGCCTGGCCCTCGAGTAAAGCATGCCCTGCTTCATCGAGCGATGTTGTCTTGCATTTCATGCGGAGGTGGAGCAGCTGAAGTTGGAGTACACAAATCTCTTGCAGGGTCAGCAGGCCGTTGCATGAGGAAGGAGTATTCCGGGCAGTGTGTGGATGTTGCAGGACACGGTTCAAGCATCTCAGAAACACCTGGAGACCAAGCTCGAGGCGGGAAAACCAGGGGACCTGCAGCAGCTGTTCAGCACAAATTCTGCCGGAGGAGCTGGGCTGCCAGATGCGGGAGATGCGCTCGACATTGGAGTCCGGACGCGTCACGTTGAATCAGGAGAGTCACGAGGGGCTGCCGGGCTGCTGTTCGTAAGGGTCCGACGCCACTCTGCGTGCTTTGTTCGTTGCCTCCTGGGGTCAGGACGACCTTGCCAAGCAGTTAGCGCAGGCGGGAGCGGGATCCAAATGCAGAGCTTGAACGCTGGCTACTGCCTAAGCCCTTCCGCTTGAATTTCAGCGACTGGCCGAGACTTGGCAGGTTTCGGCGGTCAACGCGAAGCTCGAGACTGCTGTGGCTCGGGACCTAGCAGCTGGCAGCTAGCAGCTAGCACATCTGGAGCAGACCATTCTGCACCGGGCAACAGCATCATATGAGGCATGAGGATGAGAGTGAGGATAAAGATGACGGTGCTTATGATGCAGCTCCTCCTGCTGCCACTGCTGATGGTGATGTTGATGTTTTCGATGACGGTGGCGAGGACGACGCTGGCCGCTTATGCTGATGCTGGTCATATGATGATGACGATGGTTGATGGCAGCGACTGTCATGATGTCAGTGATGGTGCGATGGCGATGATGGCGATGTTCTACCGCCCCTACTGCAACTGCTCTCGCTGCTGATGCTGCTACGATCTGCTACTACTACTACTACTACTACTACTACTACTACTACTACTGTTGTGTCGTGCAGAACATAGTATATGCCTGACAGAACGATTTTCGCTTTGAGGCCAGGGAGGCCAAGAGCCTGGGACCCGCCAGGCGCATTCTGCGGAAAGCCGACACAACTCCGAAATCCATGAAATGTTCTGTTCATGGTTGGCAGGCCGGCACCTATTCAATTAAAGGAAGCACCATCTGAGGCTCGTGGACTTTGTTTGTCCTCAGTGGTGCACAGACTATGCAGTCCTTGGTTTGCACAGTGTGCTGTCACCGGCCTTCCGCATGCCCACGACAAGTCCTTGAGGATGTGCGTCGGGCCAAGTCGCCCAAGCGTTCCGGGATGCAGGACTCCGAAGCTCTTCTTGCCTTGCATGATTTGGCAAAGTTTCCCTGCAGACGCTCTCCATGCACTTCTTGCAGCACACAGCATAGGGACGGCCCCTGGCCCCTTTCCATGATCTGGGCATTGGAACCTCTAGTTGTTCATGCCAGCATCTCTGAGGTCTCTGAGGCCCGGCAGTATTTGGAGTTTGAACATCTGAGAAATTTGAGCTCTTTCGATGAGCTGGGCCATGGGGGCGGCTCCAGCACAGCAGACCCGTGATGCACGATGCAAGTTCAAGCAACCGCAGATAGCAGTACAGTGGCCTCCAACCACACGTAGCGAGGGCCAGGGAAAACCGCCTGCGTAAACGCGGCATGCCATGCATGCCGCAAGCAATCGTCGGTTTTGGCTCTGATGGACACTCGCCACTTGCTACTGTAGGGGCGAAAGCATTTTGCCGGGATGTTGGACCTGCAGCATCTGCAGCTGTGACGAAGGAACTGTGCGGCTGGGTTCTAGGTGTTCTCCGCGCCTCCATGGTGGACAGAGGTTTGCGTGGCTCTCATGTCAGCACCCTAAATTTCCCCTGTGCCTGGCCTGCCTTTCAGAGCTGTGGGGTATGAAAGCATGTGCATCTTTGTTTCCTGCGTGAGTTGGTAAGGGACAAGTGACCTTGGCGACGGTGTGACCTTTGTCGATCCATGACGGGCAGAAATTCAATTACGCCACCCTTGCTGAAGCTTCTTCGCTTGCCCTAGCGGTTTGCATGCTGGAATCTGCATTTCTGCTCGCGACGGGCGAAATGGAAACGCAGGGCACCCCTGCCGCACATACCTACCTAGCCTCTCCATGCCAAGCGTAAAGGTCCCCATGGTGTCTGGGGAAAAGAAGTCTGAACAGGCTCGGAAAGAAATGTAGGACATTAGCAATCTTGACACCGCCTAGCCCCCTGTTGACCGAGCCAGTTGTCGCGTTCGAAATTGGTTTAATGATGCTCTATGGTCAAATATTTGCGGCCGCATTTGGTGCTGTCCTGCTAGCTCGGTTGCTCAGGCTGCTTTTGCAAAGTACTGTATGTGGTAACATCATTGCAAGGTGTGGCATCGGTTGATGTTGCACACCACACGCTGGCTGCAGTGTTTCCTCCGGCGTCCCTGATTTTACTGGAGGAGTTAAAAGTCACCCGGCGTATTCACAAGTGTGGCCCGCACAGAAATTTCTCGGCACCCTGAAACATCCTGAAGCAGTCTGATCTCGTGTCAGCATTCCTTGGCCAGGAAGCTGTCCTGCTCAAACGCGGCAGGGAGCCGCGGGTCCGGGAGGTCCTAGCCCCACAGAAGTTGCGGTTGGCTGCAGTTCTGCCGTTTGAGAACTCGCAAACCTGCTGAGTTCGACGGAAAGATGTGGGCTCGAACGGATGACGCGGTCCTGACAGGGTGGCTGGCACAGGTTCGAGCGAATGGTCACCCATCAAACATAGTGCGAAGAATTAGATTCCCTCGATTTTCTGAGGCAGAGAGTCCGACACTTGATGCTGGAGAGCCTGGCAGCGTCAGCGTCTCAGCACAGACTGCAATGAGCGCTGATTGTCCGCCCCTCGGATCGTATCCCGAGGCGTCAGCAAACACGGATGTACAAAGAGATGATCCAGGACGCCACTTGTAAGATGCCGGTTTGGGAATCGACACAGGGGAAGCTTACAAGATTCGGTCTCCCTCGTTTCAGGAATTCGATGCGAGTGAGGTGGGTCAGAAGGCTTCGTTCCCCTGAATTCCCACTGCATGCCTGATGCACAGCCTGGCGAAGGCAAAGCTTTCGAGTGCCAAGGTGCCTATCCTCAGAGCCTTACATGTCAGAAGACAAGCGCGCTTCAAGTTGTGCCGAGTGCCAAGGCTGCCTTGCAGTCCCTCAACAGCTCACTGCGTGGCCAGGCCAGTGATCAGAAGAGAAGCTGAGGCTTGAGAGTGGCTGCAACACGCGAGGTTGAGCAAGCACGGCGAGAGCTTGAGCAACTGGAGAAGGCAACGCCGCCTTCCCGTGGTCGCACCAGAGCCTATTGAGCCCAGCTGTCGACGAGTCGAGGCCAGGCAGGCAGGCCCGGTGCCGCCGGCCCCCCAACTCGGTCCCAAACCCGATTCGGCAGTTCGGCTTCCCCGTGCCCAGGCAGACCTGAGCTCGCGGTGCTCGCAGCTCAACGGTTTTCGGTTTGGTGTGAGGCTGTGAATCTTGTCTCAAGTTCATCTTCCCGGAATTCGACCTGGCAGAGCTTTGCAAGATCAGCCTGTTTAAGAGCAAATCAGTCAAAGACTGGCTGACACGGTTTGTATCACACTGCTCATGTGAATGTGTCACCTTTCCGCTTGTTTTGTGGCGAAGCCACGTTTTGCGGGCCCTGCGACAGTGGCAAACTCGAAGCGGACTGCGGACGGCACCAGGCATCTTTGTCTAGGCAGGGCCCATCGGGCAGGTTCTTGATGTCGCTGATGTCACATTCGGTTGAAGCAGCTGTTCAAGCAAGGGTTGAACGTTGGTGTCCGTTTTCGGCTTTTTACCCAAGCCCCTTGCAAGTCGCAAGAAGCCGCGTGCTTTTCATGCATCATACAAGGAGAAGGACAGTGTACGGAAGCATGATTGCATGCGAGACCTTCGATCAGCAGTGCTGCAGAAAATGATGTGCGAATGCACATGTCGCATGTTGGGAAATGGCCAGCGCGTGAATTATGCATTTTGCCTTTGTGGCCATTGTCGCAACTGCGTTTTTCCGAAGGAGTTGAGTAGATAAGTCGTTGCCCAAAATGCTACTGGGTTTCAGCTCGGTGAAGCGAGACGGCAGTGGGCGGTGTTCCGAATGTGCGGCAGTTCAGCCGGACTCCTAGAGGCATGGCCGTGCGTGAAACCTTCGTATTCAAGGCGTTGTTGCAACAGATGTTTCGTGGTGGCAACGAGGTTTCCTGGAAGCAGATCGACAGCGATAGGAGTGGATGCATGCCTCGCGGCGTCGAGACGCATCGTAGGTCTCTGTCAGTCTTCCCGCTTGCTTTCTCTGCCTTCTCTTGCGACGTCTGCAGGGGCGCCGAGCTGCCCTGGAGCTTTGTGGCAGCTGCGCTGGTGCCAAGTTCTCCAAGCATCGGCACCTGCAGGCAGTCGAAAACGTGCTGTTGGGTTGGGGCTGGTGCAGCGGGACAAAGGACAGAGCGTCGCACGCTGCACGATGCACAGAGTCGCCAGCAAAAGCCTTGCTTTTTGGCTACTTCGAGTTTTTCAGGTAGCTTCTGCTTGATGTCACTTGATTCACTTGCAACGAAGACATGCCCACCTGCCTGAGCGTCCATCAACCCGCAATTCTGTTCCCCCCATCCTGTCCGGGCCATGGCTGCCTTAGCGTGGCTGCTGTTTTCCTTGGCCGCTGGGGCAGCTGACGCGCGACACCTGCGCGGCCTGCGCGGCCTCAGCGAGGACTTGGGGACGATGCTGAAGGAAGACGTCGCTAAGGCGGCAAGCGTCATCTTCAAGACCTTCGAAATCGAAGGCAATCAAGGAGGAGCACCGGCAGCCTCCGTTGACACCACGGCGAGTGGTGCTCACCTGGTGCAGGAGCTCCTTTCCAATAAGGAGCTGACTGAGCAGATAATGCTCAGGCCGACGCAGAACGGCTTGGTACAGTCAGGCCGCCTGTTCGGAATCAAGATGAAGAACGCCCAGGTCGGCAAGGAGACGCACGTGTCCACCGAGGGTGGCCTGGTCACCTTCTCGGTGGAAGACCTCTCCGTTGAGGTGGAGTGCGAGTATGATCTCCGGCTATCCAGCTTCGGCTACAAGGAGACGGGCAACGTCAGGGCCCGATTGTTCGGCGACTCCATGTTGCTGAACTTCCCCTTCCAGGGCTCCGGGCCCGGAGGGTGCCACTTCGGCAAAGGCCTAGACCTAGAGGCAGGGGTCGTCTCAAAAGCGTTTAGGTTTAAAGGGTTTGAGTGAGTTATCAGCCAGGGTGTGGATGTTTGTTTTGCGTCGTTGCGCCGCTAGGCTTAAGCCATGGCTTAAACATATCAAGAAGGGTGGTGAAACGAGTTTAAACACACTGTCGATTTGTTCAATCAGTTTAAGCAACACCCGTGCCCCAACCCTGCCTTGAGGTCTTGAACGCCACGAGCGACCATGATGCGCTAAATGTGGCCATTGT